TCTGAATCAGCTGCGCCAGTTTCGTCAACGTCGTGCGGACGGAAACGATTTCCGGCGATTGAAACCTCCGCTGTGCTACGATCCTCAGCTTCTGTTTCTTCCACAGATAGTGGTCTTGATCCACACGTGAATTTGCATGTATGTACCAACGGGACCAATGACAGTAGCCTGGATCCCAACCATCCATCCGCATATCTAGACACACCAACCAGCCCATGGCGTCTCCGTCGACAATGGTGGGTACGCAATCCCATATCATCTTCACCACCGTCGTCTCCGCTTCCTTACATTTCTCCGTCCGATCATCGAAGAATGTTATCCGGTGACTCGATGGATCGGTCATCTTCCATGGTTCGTGTTAATAGCACTAATAAGCATTCATTAAACCGGAGCACAAGCAATGGGAGTACTGGTCGTATCCCTGCCTCTCATTTCGCTTTGGATGAGGATTGGGTTGCAGCGGCAGCTTTGCGGGATGAGTTAGCTCAAGACAGCTCATCAAACCACATTCGTCGAGTTACTCTTATGACTAGCCCAGGCCAATCCACGGTTCGTGTACCATGCATATCGACTTCTCCTCTAACTCAATCAGTCACATCGACTGCGACTGCGGCCAGTTTCGATGACGGGGAGATAGCGACGGCGGCTGCTTCCTTGCTCAGTCAAGCTGGTTCCGGCGGTCCATCGCTTCTTGCGGCGCCCGGTTTAACGCCCGAGTATCCTCATAAATTGTGCGGTATTTCCTATGATCGAAGCATGGATGAGGACGACGATGCAGAGGAAGAGGTGGAAGACGAAATGGTGGATGGAGTCGTTCCCGTAGGTGCGATAGCTGAGGAAGACGATTTAGATCCCACCCGTCCCGTTTTATCGTTCAACCATAACTCTACCATGTTGCGATCCTCCAGTGTCAAATCACTTCCATCTCTGCGACCCAAAGCAAAGCCTTTTCGACGGCAACCTCTAATCAACACCACTCACCAAGGTTTGGATATTGATGCATTCCTAGCTCATTAGTATCCTATAATGCTCCTGTCCAACCGGTGATTCAATTGTGAGCAATCTATGGTCGCATACCCACCTTCAAAATTTTCTTTCTGTACAGTCTACCGTTCATTTGTTATGTATGTCATAGATCCCTGTTTTGGTTGTAAAAAGAACTTGGAAACCATTTTGACCCTGTACATTCAATTCCGTTCCTTTCTCCTCCATGGAATTCCGTATTGCCCTTTATCCCTTCATTGGTTCCCTTCCTCAGGTTGTTTAGCCTCGTTTTTATTTTCACCTATCTGTACAGATTACACTATTATTGTCTTCATCTCCCTTATCCACACTCTATCCGCCCATTTATTCAGTCAGATCTGTTGTGTTTTCATCGTTTTTCTTTATTTCTCACTATGTTTCCACTGTTCCCCGCCATGTATGCTCTTTTGTGACCTTTCTTTGTATCCCTTTCCACCACCTGTCTTCACATTTATCATGACCAAAGTTTCTCTACACGAACGCTTCAGATTTCGGATTCATGTTTTGCTATTTGTCCTTTCCGTTTAGCAAATCGGTTTGTGGCACGTGCACTTTTGTCAATCCAAATGAATACTTCTGTTGTTGGCGGATCAGCCTGTCCGCACTGGAGAGAGAAAAAACGCAAGAGGAGAGTTTAAGGTTTGTGAACAATAATGCATGTCCTTCATTCTTAAGTTTCATCTTCGTACCCAATCTGTTCTTTTGTTCTTACACACGCACTCATGCATTGCAACACATTCCAACCTACTGGTATGAATGAATGTTTGGTGCTCACTGTATCCTCCTAACAGTTGTCCATGCTCTTCGCGTATGCGCACTTTTGGCCTTGTTTTCCTCACTCTTTTACAGTGCATTTCTCTTTTCGAATTCCGAATACTCACAACAACACTCGGTGTTACTGAAACTCCATTCAAAATGAATAGTTGCTCGTGAATATCCTCACTACTTTTCATCTTCCCGTCCGTACGTCTACCCGTCCTCTACAAATCAGAGCGTGCATCTCTTATCTTTCCGGTGGCCCATTCATCCGTTAATCTGCTTAGTGGCTCGATATAACTCCCGTCCCTCCTGCACCACATCGCCTGTCCTCCTCCATTATTGAGTTCCATACTTCTTTTGTACATTTTTGGGATCCGTATTGGACCATTTTTCATGCTTACCCTTGAAGCATATGCGAGTTTTCTTTGCTTATTGTGATGCGTTCTTTTCTATGGAGCTGACAGTTTATTCGAATGGGTGGTGTAAATCCACCGTCTAAGCTATGCGAGACTTCTCCGATAGACTGTTTTCACCGGCTGGTGCCTATGACCGTCTGCATGAGCACACGTGATTCCTGGTGTTGGTCTATCATCCGTATTTCAGCTGTCAGAGATATTGCATACTGTGGACGCTGGTGGTCGTCCATCTGTCTTCCCGCATATTTATCAGTGGCATATAGAGTGAAGAGATGATACCATAGTGTACTCGGTGAAGTCCTTGCCATATAGGTTGTGTGCTTTCTGAATGTTTTAGACCGAAGCGTTGTTCATTTTCGGAATTTCCAACAACTCGGTTCAAATCCTCTCTCTGACAAAGGCATTTCGGTACTAGTTAAACAACTATACAGCGAGATCATTTCAACTGGTTAATCCAGCGGGTTCAGTGCGATAGGTAAGCCGATCTATCGTCTAGCTGTAATTACAACCTTAACTAAAAGGACGTCAGGATCGAGAATGGCTTTCATGTTTGAGTGTTAATGGGGAAAATTTAATTTAATGTTTTACATGCAAGCCCGTATATGTACTTAAATAACGCGATCCCATTCGCTGCGAAAGGTTTCTGTTTTTCGCTGCCATCATAACAACAGCGATTTCCGGAATGTGTTCGGTGAATCCAGATTGATCTACTATTTCTCGCTAACCGCTAATGTCACTATAAAGCTGGGTTGACAGGGCGAGTTGTTCAACATGTTGAAATGTTCTTTGGGGTTTTTGG